GTTGTAAAGCAGCACAACGAAGCCTTGAAGAAAGCCGCACGAAAAGAGAACAATCTTCTAGTAACCCTTATAATGACTCCTTCTAGTAGCCCTTATTGTAGCCACTAAAGTGATAGCAACCCCTTACAGCAGCCCTTATAGTAACCCTAGCAAGATGTAAACCCTAAGCCCTAAACCTAAAAGCTCCCAGCCCTGGCCCAGGAACCTCGGCAAAGGCTACTGAAGCGCCCAGCACAGCATTTGGGGTACACAGCTTCTGGTTGAGGGTTTAGGGTTTACAAAGGGATCTATAGGGTTCCTTAAAGGGAACTATAGGGTTTAGGGTTTAGGGTTTACTTGGAGGATCATGAGACTTAGTAAGTACAGGGTTATAAGTACCTTCATTAGGGTTATAAACAGATATAACTTGATATAACACATAATCACAGTTACCTTACTTATAACCCTACATACTAAGTCCTCTCAGTGTCGGCTTCTTTGCAGGAGAGTTGTGGGCTTCCTTCTTCGTTTGTTCTGCAAGATCATGGCTGGAAATCTTCTAGATGCAAAAGAAGTCAACCAGTGTATCGCATGGTCAAAGCCCGTAAGTCAAATCTGACATGCTAAGTGTTTCGGTGTTAGTGGCAAGTACTTCGCATTTCGCAAGGTATCAACGTTAAACATACATACCTCTACAACGTGGTTTCCAATCTCTCTGCATTGTCTTGTTGCACAGGGCCTCCAGCGTTATTCCGGTGAGGTAAGTCCTCCACTGGCGAGGCCAGGATATTCGTGACTTCCCATACTCCGTAGTCTATGGCAGCCGAGGCGCCGTCTAAAGACGACCAGCCCGGTAGTGGCGAGGTTGCAGCGGTGTCGCCCGGCACAATGAAAACTGGACAGTGGCGCTCAGGATAAGGTTTCGGGTGCGACCTGCCAGGAAAGGTCATGAGATTAGAATGGCAAGGCAATGAGTTAGACAGCTTTTACAAGCTTGTGGTTGCATGCTTGCACGCATGCATGTGTGTACGTATGGAAGTCAGTAAACAAAACGTAATTGAAAACATTGTATTGCAGATGCAATGCATTGTAGATGGTCAAAGCGGTCGGTAGGTTGAGTTGTTCATACTGATCTCTGTGTGTGTGTGCGCGTTCGCCTTTGCGGGTTTGATGAATTTGTTTTGCTGGCAGGGTTGCCGATGTCACACGAATAGCCCCATTGCCGTGAACCTATCAAAACACAATGTCTCTGGGAATCTAACCACGCTAAGCGTCAGCTGTTTCGCTGTTTCAACATCCACAGCCCTGTAACTGGGTGTTAACGGCGGGGTGGGCATCTCTGCCGGTTTTTCTTCGGCCAGGAAGCCCGGACGATGGGTCTACGAGCTTGATGCCGGGGGCCTACAAACCCGGTGTCGGTTGTTCTTCCACCTCTCAGAGTATTGGTGGTAACCCGGTACTAGTAGTAGTAGTAGTAGTAGTAGTAGTAGTAGTAGTAGTAGTAGTAGTAGTAGTAGTAGTAGTAGGAGTAGTAGGAGTAGTAGGAGGAGGAGTAGTAGTAGTAGTAGGAGTAGGAGTAGGAGTAGGAGTAGGAGTAGGAGTAGGAGTAGGAGTAGGAGTAGGAGTAGTAGTAGTAGTAGTAGTAGTAGTAGTAGTAGTAGTAGCGTGGTAGTAGTAGTAGTAGTAGTAGTAGTAGTTGCGGTGGTCGTCGTAGTGGTAGTGGTAGTGGTAGTGGTAGTGGCAGTGGCAGTGGCAGTGGCAGTGGCAGTGGCAGTGGCAGTGGCGGTGGTAGTTGTAGTGGTAGTACTAGTACTAGTACTAGTACTAGTACTAGTACTAGTAGTGGTGGTAGTAGTACTACCGCAGGACGAAAGTTCGCCATACAACATGAAGTTGAGAGATCACCACATGTTCAGCCCTTTTCCCCCGTAGAATCCTAGCACAACCCCGCAAAGCTCTCCGCCGGAAACTATATAATAGTATAAACTTATTCCCGGAAAGTAATTACTCCGCCACGCTGGCCACGTAAAATGGGTCTTGGGGCTCTCCGCCTCTCCGCGGCATACATCTATGTTATAAGCTGCATGTCGAAACTTTCGGCCCGGTGGTGATTCTGGAATCATGGCTGATCCTCGCAACCAAGCCCGGACATGTGGCTTTAAGGTTGGGGTGAGGCAGTGTCATTTGCTGAAAACAAGGGTCACTCCTGCCTCTATCTTCCACAAGGCTGGACTGCAAGCCCCGAATTGCCCGCTGATTCTGGAATCATGGCTGATCCTCGCAACCAAGCCCGGACATGTGGCTTTAAGGTTGGGGTGAGGCAGTGTCATTTGCTGAAAACAAGGGTCACGGCGAGGCAGGCCCGGTACAAAAGTTTCGTCGCATCTGGTATCAACACTGAACGGAGTACGCGGAGTCCGGGCTGTGGCAGTGGATGTCGTTATCTTCCACAAGGCTGGACTGCAAGCCCCGAATTGCCCGCTGATTCTGGAATCATGGCTGATCCTCGCAACCAAGCCCGGACATGTGGCTTTAAGGTTGGGGTGAGGCAGTGTCATTTGCTGAAAACAAGGGTCACGGCGAGGCAGGCCCGGTACAAAAGTTTCGTCGCATCTGGTAGCAACACTGAACGGAGTACGCGGAGTCCGGGCTGTGGCAGTGGATGTCGTTATCTTCCACAAGGCTGGACTGCAAGCCCCGAATTGCCCGCTGATTCTGGAATCATGGCTGATCCTCGCAACCAAGCCCGGACATGTGGCTTTAAGGTTGGGGTGAGGCAGTGTCATTTGGTGAAAACAAGGGTCACTCTGCCTCTATCCCACAAGGCTGGACTGCAAGCCCGAATTGCCCCTGATTCTGGAATCATGGCTGATCCTCGCAACCAAGCCCGGACATGTGCTTTAAGGTTGGGGTGAGGCAGTGTCATTTGCTGAAAACAAGGGTCACGGCGAGGCAGGCCCGGTACAAAAGTTTCGTCGCATCTGGTATCAACACTGAACGGAGTGCGCGGAGTCCGGGCTGTGGCAGTGGATGTCGTTATCTTCCACAAGGCTGGACTGCAAGCCCCGAATTGCCCGCTGATTCTGGAATCATGGCTGATCCTCGCAACCAAGCCCGGACATGTGGCTTTAAGGTTGGGGTGAGGCAGTGTCATTTGCTGAAAACAAGGGTCACGGCGAGGCAGGCCCGGTACAAAAGTTTCGTCGCATCTGGTAGCAACACTGAACGGAGTACGCGGAGTCCGGGCTGTGGCAGTGGATGTCGTTATCTTCCACAAGGCTGGACTGCAAGCCCCGAATTGCCCGCTGATTCTGGAATCATGGCTGATCCTCGCAACCAAGCCCGGACATGTGGCTTTAAGGTTGGGGTGAGGCAGTGTCATTTGGTGAAAACAAGGGTCACTCCTGCCTCTATCTTCCACAAGGCTGGACTGCAAGCCCCGAATTGCCCGCTGATTCTGGAATCATGGCTGATCCTCGCAACCAAGCCCGGACATGTGGCTTTAAGGTTGGGGTGAGGCAGTGTCATTTGCTGAAAACAAGGGTCACGGCGAGGCAGGCCCGGTACAAAAGTTTCGTCGCATCTGGTATCAACACTGAACGGAGTACGCGGAGTCCGGGCTGTGGCAGTGGATGTCGTTATCTTCCACAAGGCTGGACTGCAAGCCCCGAATTGCCCGCTGATTCTGGAATCATGGCTGATCCTCGCAACCAAGCCCGGACATGTGGCTTTAAGGTTGGGGTGAGGCAGTGTCATTTGCTGAAAACAAGGGTCACGGCGAGGCAGGCCCGGTACAAAAGTTTCGTCGCATCTGGTAGCACACTGAACGGAGTACGCGGAGTCCGGGCTGTGGCAGTGGATGTCGTTATCTTCCACAAGGCTGGACTGCAAGCCCCGAATTGCCCGCTGATTCTGGAATCATGGCTGATCCTCGCAACCAAGCCCGGACATGTGGCTTTAAGGTTGGGGTGAGGCAGTGTCATTTGGTGAAAACAAGGGTCACTCCTGCCTCTATCTTCCACAAGGCTGGACTGCAAGCCCCGAATTGCCCGCTGATTCTGGAATCATGGCTGATCCTCGCAACCAAGCCCGGACATGTGGCTTTAAGGTTGGGGTGAGGCAGTGTCATTTGCTGAAAACAAGGGTCACGGCGAGGCAGGCCCGGTACAAAAGTTTCGTCGCATCTGGTATCAACACTGAACGGAGTGCGCGGAGTCCGGGCTGTGGCAGTGGATGTCGTTATCTTCCACAAGGCTGGACTGCAAGCCCCGAATTGCCCGCTGATTCTGGAATCATGGCTGATCCTCGCAACCAAGCCCGGACATGTGGCTTTAAGGTTGGGGTGAGGCAGTGTCATTTGCTGAAAACAAGGGTCACGGCGAGGCAGGCCCGGTACAAAAGTTTCGTCGCATCTGGTAGCAACACTGAACGGAGTACGCGGAGTCCGGGCTGTGGCAGTGGATGTCGTTATCTTCCACAAGGCTGGACTGCAAGCCCCGAATTGCCCGCTGTAGTAGTAGCAGTAGTGGTAGCAGTAGTGGCACTATACTACTGCTACAACTACTTCCGCTGCCACTAATTCTACCACTATCTCCGCCACGACCACGACGACGACTACTACTGCTGCTCGCACTCCTACGCCTGCTCCTACCGCTACTGCTACTACCGCCACCGCTACTGCGACTACGTCATGCATAGTTCTATTTCTGGCCTTGGTGTTATCAACTTGTAGTTTGCCTGTGGGCTTCTTAGGCCATGAGCCTTTCATATTTGGAGTTTTACAGCCTTTTCCTTGAGCTGGCAGATGGATTTCCATTGTGGTTTCACTTTCTCACCTCGGCTTTGGGTAAAAAGGGCTTGGATATCTAGATCAACCGCTACCTATAACTGTGCGGCTGCTGCATGAACGATTGAGGGTTAATGCGTGAGAGCAAGACAATCCGTAGAGCAAGCAGTTCGTGTTACAAGCGTGGCCGAGAAGCCGCTGTTCCTGCTGGCTGCGTGTGGTTTCATCATGTAAGATGGAGCATAGCAACTACAACGTTCACGTCTTGTTGTTGGTAGATGAGTGGAGTGTTTCGTGGTTCAGAGTCCTGCAGAAGTCAAGTGTTCACATCAACCACCAGGTGACCGTGGAAAAGGCGAATAAGTTACGTGATGCAGATTGGGCTCCGGGTGGGGGATCTTCGGACCCCTATTGCGCCGCCCGGCACATCTTTTCCAGGGCATGGGTCTGCCACAGCTTAGTGACACTGTGTCGTGCTTCAGTTGTCGGGTGCACATGTGGCTCGATTTCACATGACGCATCCGCATGGGGAAACAGTTTCGCGTGAGAAGAAGTAGGGCACAGGATTCGGGACTGATGGGGGGCCATTAATAATTAGAATAGGGGTTTAGGGGCCCCTTGTTATGCTTGTATAATACCCCCAAACCCAATTCTAATTGTAAAGGCCCCTTTTTATTTTCTTGTTGGCTCAACTTTTTGGGGTTCTCATAAGGTAGTCGATTCTGCAAGGTTCAACTTGCATTTCCTTGGGTGTTGGGCCAGTGAGTTTTACATCTTAAATATTCGAGGCTCAGTCTTCAGAGTGTCTAGGTCAGTCGATTGCTCACGGGCCGAACGACTGACAAACAGGGATGCGGTCCGAAGGGGAGGCATGTAATATAGGGGCCTTGCCAATCAGAACAAGGTTCTGGGGCCCATTATACTATAGTTATAATAAGGAACACCCGAGAATAGTATAGGTAATTATTGATTATTAAAGTATAAAACTCTTATGGTAGCCCTTATGGAAACCCTTATAGACTCCTTTAAAGCAACCCTACTCTAAACATTTGGGCCCCTATGTTACTTGTATTGTGCGTTTGGTCTGGCCCCGCCCTTGAGCTGGCTGGAGACATCGGGGGATCTGCTCATATTCACTGATGCCAGATCTAAAGACTTCAGGGGTTTGGGGGTTTAGGGACGATTCCTCCTGCATGTCCTTGCGGACATAGCAAAATCCTAAACTTTCTTAACCCGAAATGCTGGCTTGCCGAGGAGTGGCATAAGAATCTATGGACTTGTCAGACATTTCTGTTGTCGCATGTGCATGAATCGCGCTATGCGAAGCTTCACGGGATGCAGCTTCTCAGAGTTCTAAGGTCGTGGCGGTGCAGGGCAAGGGCAGCTTGGACAGACAGCATATGGCAGATAGATTGGTACATAGATACACGCTGTAGATAGCCAGGTGGATAGATCGAAATAGAAATAGAAATTACATGTAACTTTACAGATAGTGGGAGGAATGTGAGAAATTCGTTCAAGCTTGGGCTGGGGATGGCTGCTTGCCCGAGCGGGGGAAAGGGTTTCGGGTTTAGGGTTATAGGGTTATAAGGTTTAGGGATATAGGGTTCCGGAATGCACTTTGCAGGCGGTTCCTGATTTGGCTGGGGGTTGCTGTGCATTGCAGCGCTGGTGCTGCCTGGTTCTGCAGAGGTAGCCATTTATGAGGGGGTGACGGGCTGAGGTGGGGTTGTAGGGTTCGGGGTTGGGGGTTTGGGGATGTTTGGTAGCTAGAGAGACTGATGAAATCATACTGCTGGAGGCACTTCAGAGAGACCTCGTCCCAAAAAGGGATGTTTGGTAACAGTCCCGACCTTCCGAGGAAAGTCCAGCTTCAAGACGAAGGTCGTGCAAAACAACCGGGACCCAGTCTGGAATCACAAGGACAAGATCAATGACATGCATGATGGCCATGGGCTCGGAGAGTTGAATGAGCGAACAGGCACTCCTATTTCTTGCTGCGACTGACCAGATCAATAATCGAGAACGGGAGCCATCGCAAGCATTATGTAGGTTCGATTCACATCACTCCTGTAACACCCCCTCGAGGCCCATGTACCAGTACTTGCCAAAGGGGAGAGTGGGCCAAGACCCTGCAACTTCTACGATCTGGAGCCCAAAGACTCGAATTTGCACCAGTCCTCCCCTCCAGGTGACCAACTTTTCTTCGAGATTCTGGATCACGATGTGGTCGGAAAGCACGATTCTCTTGGCTTCGCATCTATAGGCCCGCCCTGTGTCCGGCTACCTGATATGCCGCAGGTAAGGATCTACATAAAGGATTTAGTCTACCAAAAAAATATGTGCATATATGTAACACCCACACGTATGTATGTATGTATGTATGCTCAGGATCCTTTCGTTGAATCGGCCCAGAGTGTTTGGCTCAGACTGCGTAATCAATCAAAGATCTGTCATACTTCTGGCTAGCGTGTATTTCTCTATAGAGCCCTTGTACTACACGCCCTGCCTGTCTGGTTCCAGGTGTTTACTGTTATGATATTTGATGTCTCAGTTACAGTCTCCGCATGTTTCCATTTTTCAATCAGCAAGTCAGTATCTCACTTGTGCATTATCAACCTGTTCAATGCTGTGCTGCGATTATGACTTCGTATCTTGTCACGCCTCAAAACCATCCTGCTCATCTTTCGCAACCTATCAACGATCTAGGGTTTAGGGTGTTTAGGGTTCAGGCTTAGGGTTCAAAGATCCTTCGCCAAAACGGCCAAGCCCGCGTTCCGGAGGCTGGGAGGAGCTTCAAGAGGACGTCGGAGCTTGAACTTGGTTTAGGGGTTTTAGGGTTTAGGGATGTTTAGGGCTTAGGGTTCGGCGTGTCAATGTCTGATAAGTCCTGTTGATGTGCCACATGAGCGGAATTTTCACTAAGCCTTCTCTATTCAGGCCTTGCATGCTCTTTGCACGTTGCTTTTGGATTCGTCGAGTAGGGTTATAAGTAGGATAACTATACTTATAATATGGGTTAGGGGACCTATAACCCTACTTATAACTACCCATTTTCCGTTGTTTTCGTGGCAAGTGGTGGGTGCCGAGCCCTAAACTCGAACGTTTGCTGCCTCGCCCGGAGAGTCCCAGTTCCGAGAGCGCACGGTTTAGGGTTTAGGGTTTAGGGTTTAGGGTTTAGGGGTTTAGGGTTTAGGGGTTTAGGGTTTAGGGTTTAGTCCAGGTGTAAAAGGGTTTAGGGGGTAAAGGGGCTTGAAAAAGTTGCCAATGCTGTTTTCTATAGGGCTCTCCTGAGTATCATACTAGTCCAGTATGAGCCGCAGTGCAGTCGGTCTCATCCTTGTGGCCGTTGTACACACATCGCCACCTTCCGAGATCGCCAAAGTGCCATTCAATGATTCCTGTATGTTCTACATACTGCATATCAGCTTAGATCTTCTTCTCACCTTGTGCCTTTTGTGATATGCCATTATTCCCGGTAATGCTGTTCTTGGTATCACTATCCTGTGGGCCCTCTCCGACCATCGAGATCATCTTTGAAAGGATTGCTGCGCCCAAAATCGCCAATTCGTCGTATCGGTCATGCGTCACTGTCGATGCCAGCCGACCTCATCAATGTCACCGTCAGCACCGCGAGTCAGTGCTACTGGCATGAGCTTCACGGCCAAAGCCGTCTCGACCATTGCCGTTGACATACCCAGCATCAATGGCAAGATCATCACCTTCTACATCTTTGGATCAACCGTCCTTGGCCTTCTTCGCCGCCCTGAAAACCATGTTTCCTGTCATTCTGAATTCTGTGAAGTTGTTGCAGTCCGTCCCATCTGCAATTAAGTTTCGGCTGTACATTGCCTGGGATCTCAGCCAGGTTTGATAGAGAGCCTACCCTACGTAGCATACTGGGACTCGTCTTGCTGTCTCCAGTGTGCGAGCGGAAAGCCGAAGATGCATGCATGGAGGATGGACCCCAGAGCTTCCAACTCTCACTGGAGAGCACCGGCAAGAAGAAGGCCCACAAGGCAAGGTTAGGGGATGTAGTGTTTTAGGGGTTATGGATTTAGGGGGGGGGGGGGCTTAAATAGTTTGCCAATACTCTTCTGGGGTTCGTTCGCAACTACGGTATAACATACCCCTACGGCCCGTCTATTCGCGGGTCACGGGCTGGAGAGCAATGGGGATTTCGCATTCGAAGTTGTGGTTAGAGTTTGCCGGTTGCGGAGCTCGGGTGGCCCGCATCTTGTATGTAGGAGCCTTTTGACGAGCGAGAAGCTGTGTGCAAGTCTGGTAGAGTGCTAGGTCCTAGGTTTTACACAACCACTTGCACCGGGACAGGGCTGATCCCAATGTCGAAAATGTTTCCGCGGTCTCTGTAAGCGGCTACTCTAGAACCCTAAACCCTAAACCTCTTTGCAAAGGCTCGAACTGGTGAGTTCCCAGGCCCGAGTTAGTTCTCGGATACCCCTACTGCCGTGAACTAGCAGGCAACACGGAGCCCAAGTTCCTAAGCCCAATATGGGAGTTTCCGAAAACAGTGGACCCTGATCTAGTACCCTCTTTAGTAGGATCCTTATTATAAGGACCCCAAAATAAGGTACCCCCCCTTTTCGGAAACTACCATATGAGTGACACACAAACAAGCCGTAAGTCCCGCATCCCGAAGCGCCTGTCTTGCCGAAGGACTCGGTCATCTCTGTCAAAGTGACAGTGGCCAAACGGAAGCTCGAGGTTCGGACAATTGGGATCAGTCCAAGCAATAAATCAAGCAATATATATATATGTACACATACATATGCATGTATACATGAATACATTTTAAGTAGATATGTGTATGTGTATATATGTATACATGTAAGTACGTATTTATGTATGTACGTATGTATAAAGTGGTTTTCGTGCTTTTGAGCATCGCGGATTATGATTAGGGTTTTGGTGGTCGAAAGCACGTGCACGTGTCTGTGCGGAGTGTGGAGTCCCTCCTGTAACGCGAGTCAAGCATCGTCAGATCTGTCCGATCCTCACAACGAGAGTGTTGGCAGATGGGCCATACTTTGACGACGCACCTCGAGGGTATGTACAAGTTGCAGGCCTGGGTCTTACAGCTTTCGAGTTTGACATGGGCAGCAGCGCAGATTCACCTGAGCGATGCTCGATGAATATTTCGTCAAAGTGCCAGACTAATTTCTTCAGCTTCTCAGGTCAACATCATATCTGCCGGGAGCTAAGCAAGTCGTGCAGCAGCGCCGGCATGATACTTGGCATTCGCGGTTGCATCGTGGTGTCTCAGGCTCACTATATATGCTTTCGCAAGTGAGTTCGTGACCGCTTTCGCTCGCTAAACCGCCAAAGTTCACCTACAATATCTCCGCTAGCATCTCCGTCCGCAAGGCCTCTCCCTTCGGCACCAAGAGACAAAAAGAGCCCACAGTAGTTTTTCACGACTGCTGCTTGGCACACGTCCTTTCATGTCGCAAAGGCAGGCGGCGGCCCTTGAGCAGATGAGCACTTCTCGCCGTCAGATAGACGAGCAAAAAAACCCGACTGCTAGTTCCCCTAAGCCCTAGAATCCCCAAGCCCTATATAATCCCTAAACCCCATATTCCCCAAATCCTATAGACCCTAAACCTTATAATCCTAAAGTTCTATCGTTCATTCCATGTGCTCTGTGGGACTTGCCAAAGAGAGTCTTCGCCAAAGAGCAATGCTCGCGTGCGAGACAGAGCATGGCCACGGCATGTATAAAGGCGGTGGATACGCATCTCAGCCCCTTTAAAAACCCCATAAAACTCTAAGTCTCAGACCCCCAAACCTGCCCTCAGCCTTTTTGATTTCAGGGATGGGAGCCTCGTTTCAGTCCTCAGGCTCGGAATCTGCGAAATGCTGACCATTTCATGGGCGGCGGCAGTCGCTTGGCTCACCTTGGCTGTCGATGCTCATGCTTACCACTGCCACCAAACGCATGCGACATGCACACATACCCGCACAAACGTCGAAACCTACTGGAAGGCCACAAGAGCACGTGTACTTACACTCACGTGCCCACCCCCGCACATGCGCCTACACACAAATGCATGAATCATGCATGGACACGCATTGCAGGCACACGCACATGCATCCACCCACACCTACAGCACCCCACCCCACGCACACACAGACAGGGACAGGCAGACAGACCGACAGACAGACAGAGACAGAGAGACACAGAGACACACACCGCACACACGGACATACTCGTATGCAAAGTAAGTGTGTGTGTGTGTGTGTGTTTGCACACGTGTATCACTATATATGTACATGTGTGTATGTATGTTCAGGTAAACAGGGTCTCGTCATCGGGATCCAGACTTCTCTCACGTTTGCCTGGAAGGTCAATCCGGGACAGCTATATCCAATGTGCAGAAACAGCGTAGCGATCAGGGCTTCAGTGCTTCAGTGTCACGCGACCTCGTATCTATGCTGGCATTCATCTTCACTATCGCCTGCAAGGGCGAAACCTTTCCACCTCGGAATTGAACTCGAAGGTTTTGCGACTGACAGCCCGAACGTTTGCAATCAGTTTATAATCGCTAAACGAGCAGCATATCCAAATGCTGCTTGCTCCCGAGTTATCTAGTAAGCGGCGCTTGAACCTGCGACATCACCTTATCCTACATCACCCAAACGTCGGAAGCTTAGTCTGTCTTATTGGTTATGACCCTGGTCTTCTACCCGCAGCGATCCCTAGAATTTCTCATGGAATCCAGAAAAGCTCAATCTCAGCATTCAAGCATTGCAGCAACGGTGACGTTTGCAATGTAGCTATACGGATAATGATGCATTCGAGCACGATAGAGAAAGAAGTATTTTGAGGATGTGTAGGCTGCGTTTACAAAGCAGGTAAGTAGATGCTATACTCGGGATGGTGGTGGGCACGACGACCTACTGGGACCTTGAGAGAACCAACAGATGCCAACTCAGGTTCCGATCCGTACTGCAAGTGCTTCGTCAAGGGGACGGGCAAGACTCAGTACACGACCAGGACTGCTTCCAGTCTTTCAGAGCACCACTGGCTTCGGTTGCAGGCAGTGTTCATTACAAATTTTGAACACAGGATGCCACATGTGTGTGTGTATGAAATTCCGGAGCTTCAGGCTTCGCCCCATCTCCTGTTAACCTCGAGACCTTGCCTGCGCAGGGTTATCAATGATAAGACCGATCCAGAATGGAATGAGCACCTTGTGGCTGGACCGCAAAGTCTGCAAAGTTACTTTGGAGAGCTTGGGAAGCGCGTCTGAACTCCGGACGCTGCAAGCCGCATCTTTGTTACCTGCTCGAGCTTGATCTGTCGACGGCCTGCAGTTGTCGAAGATTGTCCAGAGTGTGAAGCAACATCCAAGCTCACGATCCGAGTGCGAGAGTCATAGGATCTGTTTTAAAGTGTTATTACTTCTTTCGTTGTCTAGAGCACCTCCAATCGAGGTGGTCCCAGACTTCTACAAAGATGACAAGCTGATGTAGCTTGGCCAGGGTCAGGAGGGCATTTGCCTACTCAATCCATCGTGAGGTCTCTCCACTGGTGAAATCCAAATGTAGGGTTCGCAGCGGTTTGGATGGCATCTCATCCGCAGCTGAGGTTCGAGATCTACGATAAGGACTCTCGCGGTATTCCTTCAAGCGGCCGGCAAGAGTAACGGGCTCATCACGTCTAACATCATTGAATGCTACACTGTTTGTTGTGCTAGGACAATCATTACTTTGCTGATGGTATGTTTGCTTGCAATACCCCTTAATTTGAAGGAATATAGCTTAAACCATAATATGAAGCTACATAATTTAAGCTATATTTCTGAATTCAGGGGTCTTGGGCTCTTTGGGAACTCCAAGCTTCGCAGGACGTGGGCAAAAAGGACGACTTCCTGGGTAAGGCTGAAATTCCCTTCTCGCAGGTCGCGGCTCATGGTACCCCGGCTGAGGGGTGGGAAATGGAAACGATACCAAATGTAAAACTTGCCTGGACTAGTAGCAATAGCAACAGTATTAGTAGTAGTAGTAGTAGTAGTAGTAGTAGTAGTAGTAGTAGTAGTACTGTAGTAGTAGTAGTAGTAGTAGCAGCAGCAGTAGTCGTGGTAGTAGTAGTGGCACTGGCCGTGGCAGTAGGAGTACCAGTAGCCGTAGCCGAAGCCGTAGCCGGAGCCGAAGCAGGAGCAGGAGCAGCAGCAGCAGGACGAGGAGTAGTAGCTGTAGTGGTCGTTGAAGTGGTCGTGGTGGTAGTAGTTCCGTAGTAGTCGTTGTCGTAGTGGGAGTGGCAGTGGGAGTGGTCATGGTAGTCGTCGTAGCACTATTAGGAGAGTATATGTTGTGGTTGCTGTTGCTGTTGCTGCTGCTGCGGTTGTTGTTGTTGTTGTCGTTGTCGTTCTCGTCGTCCTCGTCCTCGTCCTCGTCCTCGTCCTCGTCCTCGTCGTTGTCGTTGTCGTCGTCGTGGTAGTACTGGTTTGTAGTGGCAGTGCTAGCTGCTAGTGGTAGTGGTAGTGGTAGTAGTACGAGCATTGTTTTTGTTCCGCAGCCCGCAACCCCTAAAGCCACCGACATCACTGCCTCACCTTGGTGGTTTCTAGACCCCAAGCCTCCCCCCCGCGACAAAACGCCTGAAGAACCACCATCCTCAAGAGCGGATTGGGAAAGTGACCCCGCTGCCGCCGCCCCAAAGCCACCACCCGGAGCCGATCTCACCCAGCCTAAACTAAACCAAGGCTTTGAAGGTGAAGTTCGGCTCCAGGTGGTCTCATGCAGTTTTCTTGCATCCCTATGAGAGTCAGCTGGATAGCTGTTTCAAGCAAGGTTTGGGCAACACCTAAACAAGTAAGCCTTCTGATTGATATGTTGGGGCTTCGAGATGCTGTTTCCTGTGAGCCGACTGTGGGCTGTGTAGTGCTTGCAAGGTTGTCAGGACCAGTTGCTTTCAAAAGGCTTTGCCAAGCGCGGGCTGACACCCCCGACCCGATAATCTTGGACCCTGAAAGCCTGAGCCTAAGCCTTCATTTGGCACTTTACCCTACCCCGCAATGCGAGCCTCGCCCTTGCTAAGTAGTAGGAGGGGAAAAAGTTCCCTGTCGCAGGGACCAACCCAAAGCGCAGGTGCCTAAATCCCTGAACCTGCACACGGAGAATATGCATGCCTACACACGGCATGTGCTCATATGTGTTTGTATTCGAGTTTATTATATGTATGTATGTATATATATATATATATATATATGAAATATACTCACACACGTCTATGTGTGTGTGCTCGCATATATGTCTCAAATTGCATGTAGTTGCCCGATGCTCTTCACAGGAAATACAGAGTCCCACCACTAACCATCTCTACTCTGCGTGCTCGTTTCTCACAGTCTAAGATACAAATGTGTGAACATGCGAATGTATATGTACATGTGTACTACATTAACTTGCGTAATGCATGCATATGTGCTCATAGTTGTGCACGCGCACACGCACACGCGCACACACATATACATACATACATACATATATACATACATGCCTAACTGCATACATACCTACACAGCTGCGCACATACATACACACGTTTCTGCATACATGCACACACACACACACAGGAGGCATGCATGTACTTATCTACGTGCGCGCATGCATAGCAGAACACATATACACACATGCATGCCTACAGGCATGTTTGAAGTGGTTTACACCCCATAGATACACAACGAGCACAAACAGAGTAAATTGCAACATACTGACTAGGTTATACCACGGTCATGCGTCTAGTATCATGTCATAAATCTGTATATCTGTGTAGAATACCTAATATACAACCGGCACACATAATGTCTAATAGATAAGACAAGGTACCCAAGTATGACCTTCATAGTTAAACAACCTGTTGTAATACAATATAGTGCAACACAGTAGACTATGTTTGGGTATGACATGTCATATCAATGTAACAGCCCACTCCGTAATACCATATATGTCTACTACACATGACATGCAACAAGACAAAAAAGCCAAAGGCTAGAGTATGACATAACAGAACAGTGCACCATGTCATTATGGCTGCGTAAAACTCAGTGTGGGAAAATACCGTAGCTCGAACAGACTGCAATAGGCTTAGAGTGAGTAGGGTGTGCCATACAAATCATGCTTGCAAGCACGCATCAGTATTCTCTCCACCGCCTCAATGCCCGAAGCTTGCTGTCGTGGCCAGGATGCTGGAGTACAGGGCAAAAAGGAGGCACGCCGTCGAGCATATTGCGGTATTGAGATTGAGCATTGCATTGTCGAAATAGCTAGCGGTCATTTCATCATAGCAGTATAAGTTATTATTCTCTGGTCACACCTTACTTACGGATGTTATCGTTTTCGAGGTTCGGGTCTGCAGAAGTGGTAATAGATGTGGGAGCCGGACTCTCAAAACCTGGCTTGGGTGCGCTGGCCGCAGCTTCCCGAAAGGTTCCAGGAAGTTCTGATGCAGCATTGCACGCTGCCATATTGCTTGAAATCTCAGCTCGGCTCGTTCATATGTTCGTTATACTCACAGAACTACCACGCAGCCATGAAGAGTTTTCAGGGGCTCCTGTCAGGTTGAGGCGTTTATCAAGCTCCACATCACTTCCCAGAAGCGAGACATGCAGGCAGGAGTTGGGGCCTGCTGGCATCTGCTTTGAGGTCTGGCAGGTGGACATGTCAAGGACAACCTCGAGGTTGATTGCAACATCATAGTGGTGGTAGTAGTAGCAGTCGTCGTCGTAGTAGTAGTAGTAGTAGTAGCAGCAGCAGCAGCAGTAGTAGTAGTAGTAGTGGCAGTGTTAGTGGTAGTAGCAGGTAGTGGTAGTGGCAGTAGCACCAGTTGTCATTGATGTTCTTCTTGTTGTTATTGTTGTTGTTGTTGTTGTCGCCGTCGTCCTTGCTTTGTTGTTTGTGGATGTGGCAGCAGCTGTTGATATTGTCGCTGTCGTAGTAGTGGAAGTCCCAGCAGTGGCCACATAGTGGTCATAAACTTTCGTGTTGGATTGTAACATTGCCGAGCCAAACAACCGAACGACCGAAGGTGTTGCAGCGGTTCAATGTCCGTGTAATGTGAGGTGCTTTTGTTCGGCTGTAGTGTTATGAGATGCTTGGCACGTTTTTTCATGGCTGCTGTATGTCTGGCTGTGGCACTTGGGGCGGACTTGAGTCTTGCAGCGCCATATTGTTGAACTTTTTGTCTGAGGTCTTCAGTGGGTCATTAGGGGCTTGGGTCTTACAAATATGGTTGCTTTACTGTAGGGGCCTTAATGATCAGAATAGGGTTTTGGGGGTTCCTTAGTGTGATTATGGTACAATAGGCCACAAAAACCTTATTCCGATTATTAAGGCTCATATATGAGGCTTGCAGGTTGAGTAATCCTGCCGAGCAGGCACAGCTTTCGGGAGTCAAGCTCTGACTGCAGACCTCGAACATGAAACCGTGAACTACCCAGCAGACCGCTCGACCCAAAGCCCCCGCGAACAAAATCCCATTGTCGTTTAATGTTGGTGCTTCAGATACCACGGAGAAAGCTGGACGTCTTGCAAGCAAAATGCCAATCCCGTATCCCAGCAACACATCTCCAATATCAGCAAAGAGCCCTGGCAATCGCAATCGTTGCCAAAAAAGATGGCAAATACTGCCAGTAGTGCATATCACGAAACATAGGAAGACAGGTCGAGAAGACAATAGCAGTCATAGGCGTAATAACTGCACCGGTTTAATCATCATGGCATGACTGCTCATCTAGTCGCCGCAACTACTAGTGGTGTTTGCCCCGTGATGCTATGGTTGCGAGTATCATCCTTTATGTACGCTGCCGTTCTGCCGGGCATAGGACCTGCTCTCTTATTAGATCCTGAACAGTAAACCCAGTTGCCTGATTATTGTTGTTATCATAACCTTTAGAAGTATTATAACGGTTGTTATTGCTCTTATTACTAAATAATATATTTGTTATGTTGTCCGTTAGCAATATGCTGCATGAAATTATACTGTGCGAGGGCCTGGCACCCTTCCACAACCAGCGCAAGGCAGCACTGGGGTTTCAAGATACTATAATTATAGGGGCCTTCATAATCATCTATAGTAGAAGCCAGAAAGTTGGAATATCATTATCGTAACCCCTTTAAGGTAAATTATAGGAGATCCTACCATTAATCCATATTCCAACTTTCTGGAGTTCCCTTTATACTATTTTGGGGACTGGGCCCAAGAACCCTACTCTAATTATTAAGGCCCCTAACCTTATGGATCCCTTATACTAACCCTTATATAGGCGAGCCCTTTAGAGGAACCCTATTCTAATAATTAAGGCCCCTATATCAATGAACCCTACATTATAGATCCCTTATAGAACCCTTTAAAGGAACCCAATTCTAATTTTTAAGGTCCCCTATCTTACAGAGATCTAGGAGCTAAAGGGGCTTGCGGGCCTAGTTTCTTGGGGTTTTAAGGCGAGTCTCAGACTTATGTTTCGGGTTCTGTCGTTTGCCAGAAAAATGTTCGAACAGGCATTGGGTTTAGTGTTCAAGTTATGTTTATTTTGAGGTGTGGAGCTGAGTGTTTAGGACTTGGTTTTCATGGTGTGACGTTTGGGTGTAGGATGCAGCATGTATAGCCCAGGTGTGAGGGGGTCCGCGCAATAGGCCGACGCCAAAAAGGTTTAGGTTTAGGGAGCCTCCCTGGCACACCATCTCCCGTGCTGACCCTTTTGGACCCTTAAAAAGAAATGCCTGGCTCCAGGTTTAACATGTTTGGGTCCACTGAAGGGTGCCGGAAGATTGAGCTTTGACAAAGCGGTTGGTTGTTGTTAGGATGAGGCGCGAGCCGCTTCGACGAAGAAATGACATGCCGTTTTGTTTACTCAGAGCATATCGCTTTCACAGCATGACACAACAAACAGAGCCAGTGCGTCAATGCTGTCGTTCTAGTTCTTGGTCCTTTTGCGCATCATTTCGCATGTATGAGTGAGGTTGTAGAACGCGGCAGCAGATCTGCTTCTTTCAGGGTTTGGGCAGTATGAGTTGGTTCCTGCCAGTGCCAATCAGTCTCTAGCCGAGGTGGCGAAGGGAGGCATGCAATACAAACTGGAGGCTCGGTTTTCCGCTAGGGCTAGGTCGCATGGAAGGTACGGTGAGCAGTGTTGGGGCTTGAGATATCCGTGGTACTTCCGTATTATTATTATTATTATTACTATTATTATTATTACTATTATTACTATTATTATTATTACTACTACTACTATTACGATTACTACGATTATTGTTTGATCCTCGAGTTCGAGCGACTGAGGGACTTCCCATCGGGGCCCAGTTCCGCAGAAAGCATTTGTGAGATTATATAACTTTACATAACTTATTAGGCAATATACTTCATTCATTTTTTGCAAAAAATCAAACTTTACATAACTTATTAGACAATGTACTTTATTCTGTAATTATTAGTTATTTTATATGATACTCCTGGAAGTGTTCGGCACTTGGGGTTTAGGGGCCGTCCTGAGCGAGGGTTTAGCGTTGTCTTTTTGTCTCCAGCTAGCTGCTGTGGCTGGCAGCAGCTATTCGTTGACCCGGTGGCCCTATGTCTTGTGCAGAGCGCAAGGACTGCTCAGTGAACCCATAGCCATAGTCGGTACACGCAAAATTCCTGGCTTGCGAAAAAGTTGGACTCTGTGCTTTCAGCGCCCGACTTCGCCAAGCTTCGATCCAGTGCGGTTGTCCGGATGCGAGCATATGAGGCAAATTAGTACGTTTGTATTTTGCTACGGTTCCTTCCGATTCCCGCACGGCCACAGCCATCATTACAGCTGTCCGTCATTGCCTGGCACTTGATGTCATCATGTCCGTACCCGTTCTCTAAGCTCCTCTGCAAACAGACCGACGCCACAATGACAGGTGGGAATTTTGTCAGCCGACGGTCTGCGGGTTGCCGATTGGATGAGCAACTCCTCAGACCCCTACTGTGTTTGCAAGGCCCGGATCTCAGGCTGCTAGCGGTCAGACTTCGGTTTCGGCTCTCTGCGGCTTTGCGTCTCTGTCGAAGAACGTCCGACTCCAGGGTTAAGCTGAGGGCCCAGAGGCTTTCCAGGTTCAGCTAGGAAAAGGAAGGGGCCTTCCTGTTTTTGCAAGCCAAGAGTGTGAACTTGCCACGAGAACTATCGGGCTGTGCAGTACGAGTTCTCCTCGAGCTGGAAGCAACACAAACATCCGTAATTTACGTTGATGTGTGATTGTAACCTTGTATAAAATTGGACATGACACAATACACTGACATACTGCAACAGAAGATCATGTAATTACAACGTTTTTGTATGCTACATTGCGACCTAAAGCAACATTGCGCGATATGATGTCAGCTTCGGTCTGTTTAGGAGCCTTAGGCCTGCAGAGGTTCAAGACTGAGACCACTAGCACTGGTCGTGAGCTGTGCTTCTCCTTAACTCTCAAGACGGCCCTCCGATTCGATGCTGCCGGCCGAGGTCAAAGGAAAGGGCACTGGCTCTTTCAAGACGCCGGTAAAGCACAAGGAGACGAATCCAGTGTGGATGGCTCAGTCCGTCTGCTGGAAGGCTGCGCTCTAGGTTCGAGGAAAGAGCTGTTCCAGGCATGTTCAGTGATTATGAACCTGACTTGGTCGTCGTTTGTCATGTCACCTGAAAGAAGCAGATCTAGCAGACTCTACTGTAGGAGCCAAAATAATTGCCTATGCTATGTTGGGGGTTCCTTGTTATACTTGTAGTACAAATATACCCCCAAACGTTGTTCTAATTATTGTTGTAACAGTGAAGGCCCCAATATTACGCGGTCAGCCAGAAGGGACCTGGACTTCGTTTTGTGATTCAGGATCTAGGATTTTGCCTGTCGGACCCTCGCCCCATGCCGACACAAGTGCACACGAACACACATACTATAGGGGCCTTAATAATTACCTATACCATTGTGGGTCTTTTTTATTATGGTTATCGTATGAAAAGTATAAGGGGACGCAAAATTCTATTCTAACTATTAAGGCCCCGATAGTACTGAGATACTAAGCCCTGTGAATGCCGGACGGGTTTCGGAAAACACGAGCCAGGTCATTGTCAAAAACTGCGAATCACCTGTAACCAAATCCCGGCCCGGAAGTGATTGCCTCGACTAGATGAGCCTGTGCCTTTGCACATCGCATCTTCCCAGAGAGCCCAAAACCCCTTAATTAAAGAATACAGCTTAAATCATAATATGAAGCCGTGTATAGTGTATTAAAGGATATTGGGCTCTCTGGGTTTGCACGTCACATCTTCGAAAACAAGAGCTATCAAGACTGTCGGCAGTTGTAACCTCCCCAAAGCCGTTCCTGAGCTAGGTTCGAATCCTAACAAGTTGCACCCAAGGTGGATGCACAAAGATGTCATTGAGGATTTTTATCACGGCGATGCCCTGGTGTTCACGGTGCCCCAGCTGGTTCGGCTAAGTCGACGGAGTGGACGGGTTGGGTACGGAAGTGTTTGAAGCATCTCTAGGTTGATGGGTTGATGAACACAGATTGCGGTCAACCTGTTGGAGGCAAAGGTGGCAGTAATCCTAGCAATCAGCCCAATCATAAGCCTCATTCGGAGCAAAATCTATCAGTCTGTCAGCTCAGATCTAGTCTGTTAGGCTTGAGGGCTGGGGGGGGAGAGGGGTGGTTGGATGCGCAGCGATTGGAGATTCAGCACTCAAGGCTTTAGGGTTTCGGGGCGTGTAGATTACCGGTGATTGAGTCCAGTAGCACAACGGGTTCGTCGATTATGACCAGGTGCTGCGGTCGCTGAATTGGGCATGTGCAGACTCTCGCAGTCACCTCTCAACATCCCTTTGAACTCGGCATGTGTTTTCCACCATTGCTGGGTTGCACCGTACACTTGAATTCCACCCTACGACAATGCTCGGTACTTAGAGTTTCCAACCTTGGTCCCTTTGTGACCACCTTTCGGCAACGGTTTGCGCAAATGTCCTTGTCACCAAGGTCAAACCGCGACCCCTCCATCCGAAATATCTAGGCTTTACTATCATTCGCCGGCAATGACAAAAATCAGGATCAAGATTTGTCTTAGCCTTTTCCTGCGATTCCCAGGCAAAGGCAAGGGGGAAAAACAAAATCTGCCTTTGGGGGCAAACGGGTCAGGCAAAATGCTCAGTTTTACTGACTTACTGACTCGCCCGAAAAAGCAGAGTTTGCCTTTGCCCACGAAGCGGGCAGGCAAATTTTCAGTGAGTTTTTCTAATCCAACTCGCCGGCAAAGGAAAGGGTTGAGGCTCTGGGTTCAGGCCGCAAGGTTGAAGCCTTGGAGGGTTTCGGCTCAATCTTGAGTATTCAGGCTTTAGGGTTGGTAAGCAGGATAGCATTATGGATGCACTTAGTGCCCATATAGGCATACTTCGTTAAATGGAGTAGAGTTTTTTGTTGTTCCTTCATGGGAGGTTATACGTTCGACTCAGGAGTGGCGAGCTTGACTAGAGCATGTGGAACCCCTAAACCCTCAACTCTAAACCCGTAAACCCTAGACCGTCATGCCTAAGCCCACCGAGATCAAAGACTCCGACAAGCTTAAGCACGACGACACCTTGGGGAGCATCCAGCTCCAGCCGCTTGCTGGCGATAGGCTTCGTCTCAACGGTTAATAAGGGTCGATATGGGAGTTTCCGAAGATTTGGGGTACCGAATCTTGGGGCCCCTGTAACAAGGATCCTACTTTCCAGGGTACTATATTAGGATCCCTATTTTCGGAAACTCCCACATTATAAGTATTACCACAATGAGTTGATAAGAAGGGTTTAAGTGTGAACTATGATCCCAGTCTGCAGTTACTCTCATCGCCTGCTTTGGGCGTCCTCTGTCCTCTGCTGGCACCCGTAAAGCCGCGCTGCGAGGTATGTTTCACTCTTGGAGTTGGGGTAAAGGTGCCAAAATGGTTCTACTCGACATCTAAGGAGTCTGTAGATAATGTTGCATCTGCCAGCATCTGCTGCACAGGCTTCACAGAGAGTGAGGTTTCGTTTTGGCCTTGCGCCCGCAGCTAGCAGCCGAGGACTGCGCAGCTCATACCTCACGGTTATGAAGGTGATCTCAGGCTGCGCAACACAGGCCATCGGGTTTAGAGTTTGGGGGCCATCAGCTTGACAAGAAGATGATCGCCCTCACGTGTGTCGGATGGCTTGCAGCTTGCCCGACTGTTGGGAATGCAGTATCTCTGATGTGGGCAGGTCACAAAGATCCGGAGAAGAGCCCGGCGTTTGCCATTTGGCAAGCAATCAGTGCTCGTGAAATCTCGTCTGTGTGGTCTCATTGTGGTGGCTGAGGTCTTCAACTAGGTACTCTCGTTGATGTGGAGATCTCAGTAGGAGGATGGTCAGCTTCCCATATTCTTTAAGTTCTAGTCCGTAAGTGGTGATTGTTGTCCGTGGCCAAAGCTCGTGCGGAATGGTTGCAATCGGTCACGGTACTACAATATCATAGCTGTAGATGTAGGGGCTATCGAGTTTGACAGCTTTGGCATCCCGTCCCCCTTGTCAGCAAAACCTCTGACATCGTCCGCTGCTTCTCACATAGCCGTATCCTTAGGCACCCGCCTTTTTCCTTGTGACAGGCACACGAACTGTAACCTTAAGGAGGTCACAATTGAGCTCTTCATCCTGGCAGATACGAAAGTCTTCCCATTCAACTTAGTCGCTGTTGGCCGGTGGTTTACTTTTCTGAACACGTCTTTCGCCTTAGCATGTCAAACAGAGAGAGAGAGAGAGAGAGAGAGAGAGAGAGAGAGAGAGAGAGAGAGAGAGAGAGAGAGAGAAAGAACAACGAAGATATAGATTTTGAGCAGAGGGCGTAGCTTGGAGGAGCTTCGGTCAATATTTGCGTTCAGCTGTTGGCCGTTTCAGGGCCGGGCATACCTAGACATTGAGACTTCGTCCACATCCCTTGGAAGCCGAGCAAACTGGCCAGTCTGTCCGACAAGAAAGAGGTTGAAGAATAGCCGAGACCGCCTGTGGGATTTGAAGGCATTCAGGGTTTCCCAGAGAAGGTGCTACCAGCGGTAGCTGCAGCCTCAATCAAGATAGATGTTGGGCATGCTTCGGCCCCAAGTGGCGTGGGCCATCCTAATCTTAAGATGGTCGCAGTTTAAGTAGATGCCAATTGCTCGAGGTGTCGTTGAGCATCAAAGTGTTGGATCGTGCCTTGCCTGCAGCCGGAAGGCTCATCAAAGCTACAACATTCCTTTGGGAATGGTTGGCGCAATTGTGAGTCCCGACTTCCGATGCGCAAATCTTGAAATTTCTGCCGAAGGTTGCTATTATGACACGTTCTGTTTGTATGCAAGCATCAACCATCAACCTAAACTCTACTTTCCGAATCCACCGCTTATAGGTACTCTAGGGGTCACAGCAGTCCCTGCATGACTAGACTATTATACCGCAATGTGCCACGAAACATCGCCCTAGTTTTTCAGCCCTATCTCGGAAATTTGGCACAGATCTGTCAGGAAGGCCCGTGACTCAGAAGTGAAAGCTTCGATGACAGGCCAGAGGGTTGCGGGGCATTTGGGGTTTAAACGGCGGCTTAGGGGTTCTGGGCAGAGTATAAATCCTGCATGGCCTTATAAGGACCCTGAAACTCTGGGGATATTATGGTATTTTCCTTCTTATGGGTAATGCAGGATTTCTATCAGCAACCGTGGGGCCTGCGGGCTCCTACCCCCCAAAAACCGCTATTCTTCGATCAGGCCACGTCGAACCCGAGTTGTGGGAGGGGTTCCACTCCCGGCGGAGTCCTTCATGCTGATGGGCCCAAAGCAGAGTTTCACCACGGAGGGCCTGGAAATTACCAAGCTTCTCCAATCATTCTAAATCCCCGTGGGCTTCTGTCAATGCAGTCTACCAGGCAGCGGTGGGGTACCTCGGGTACTGAGGGTAAGGGTCCGACCCCGCTGCGGTCACTGTATGATGCCCTAAAACCCTGAAACTACTATGGGGGACTCAATGATTACCAATACTAATTTGGGGGTTCCTTGTCATATTTATAGTATAGTGGGCCCCAAAACCCTGTTCTAATTATTAAAGCCCCGATAGTCGACCCCTGAAACTAGGCAGATTGATGGTGGCTCACGTAGGTGCGTGTGCCGGCGCCAATCCGAGAGCCGGCATGACGGTCTCATTTTGCTTTGAAGCTAGACCTAAACCCTAAACCCGTTCAAATTTCTCTTGAGGTGCCAAGAAACGATCGTAAGCATATTGCAGAGTGTGCCACTCCGAGTATTACTGACGATCGCATGCTGGACTCTTCCGGTGAACCGCAGCACATTGCCAAGCGACAGTTATGCTCCCAGGAAATTCTGGAGAGGAGGTGATAGTTCGCGTGAACCGCCACACCTCAGAGAGGTGATTTCAGGACAGAGCTCTCTCCGGTGAGGCTATACCGTATACTCATGACTCATATCATATTTGTTAGTTCGGATTCTCATTGCATCCCACGGCTTTGAGAATGGCATTTAGGCCAGTTGCCGAAGCCAGAGCCCTGAGGCTTGAGCTCAGAACCCTCAGTGTGAAGCCCTTAACACCCTGAACCTGAAGCCCTTCGGCGCTAAATTTCTGGAGCTACGCCTAACATCACCCAACCTCACAGCCTTTCTGATCTGTCAGAAGGCGGTGCGTGTAGAGGGCCTCATGACGTTTTACAGCAGTGTTTGGGGCTTTGTCCAGGGCCGACACACTTGGTCTCAGGGCTTGCGTCTTAAAGTTGGGAAGCTCGAGAAGGATTACCTTTGATGCACCATGCTTTCGATGCTTGTTCTCGTAGTATCTACTGTGCCTAGTGGGCTTTCAGACTTTCAACTTTCACTTCTTCCGAAGGTTCCCCTACGTCTCCGAGACCGCACACCATTAGCTCCTGACATCTCGATCTACCATAGGGTCCTAAATAATTCCGAATACTATTTTGGGGGTTCCCTACTATATTGATAGTATAATGGGCCTGACAGCCCGATTCCAATGACAAAGGCCCCTATCAAGGCCAACCGATCAACCGGAGAGCCATACGGAGCAGAGCTTCCGTTGCAAACGGGTCTTCTGCACTGCGGCCTCCTCGCCAATGCGCCCAAGGGACTCGAAAACCAGCGAGACGTCGCTCCCGCTCTGAGAGCCCCATATATACCCCTAAATTAAGGAATACGGCTTAAGTTATATGGATCCTACTATTTAGGGTACTATATTAGGGTCCCCTATTTTCGGAAACCCCCATATAGGGCCTCAGATTAGGAAATAAGCTATATTCCTTAATTAAGGGCTATTGGGCTCTCTGGGAGGGGGGGCTCATGGCTCTAAAGCTCTTGCTCGGTTCATGTCGAGGAGTGATGATGGGCATGCACAGGTACAAACACATGTAATTATACATATAGTCTATGTATATGTATACACATACCTATGTCTATGTCTATCTCTGGATATACAACTATACGTGTATAAATACACATACAGATGTGTGTATATGCATGTATGTGCATATAGGTAGATGTACGGACGTATGTATGATGTATGTGTGGCATGGCATGGCATGGGATGAAATGGTATGGTCTGGTCTGGTATGAGATGGTACGGTATGGCATGCATGCTTGTATGTATGTGTTGTAAGGGTGTAGCTATGTACGTATGTATGCATGTATGTAGTAAAAAACATTTAGAAATGCACACAGTGCATGCGTGATTTCATATAGATCTGCACATGTATGTAGTAGTTACAAACGCATTCGCAAAGGTTTGTGTGTGTGTGTGTTTGTGTTTCTTTGCGTCTGTCTTTATCATCTCTGTCTGCCGGTCTGTCTCTCGGTGTGTTCTGGTGCTCGCATGAACGAACATGTGTGTCATATATACTCCCACTTAGGTCATAACATAAATTCATTTTTTCTCGCGGAGCTATTGAAATCGTTCGTGATTAGTCTAAATTCGTTTGTAGATAGCTGCTACCGCTACCTTGCCCATGAGCACAAATTTGCAGGCGGCGTCGGTGCCAGACGGTGCAAGGCGGGGCATTCGGGTAGGTACTCCTCCTGTTCCTCCTCTTCTCCCATTATTATCACTAGTACCGCTACTTCTCCTACTACTACTGCTACTACTACCACTACCACTGCAGCAGCTGCCGCTGCCGCTAATTACCCCACTTCCACCACCACCGCTAGCGCGATTGCTGCGACTTCTTCTAGTCCGACTACCATCACCACCGCTACCACCTTTGCAACTAGGATTGCAGCGTGCCCGCGATGCTCAACGAACTGCTAAGAGTCAAGAGGAGTTACAGCCGGAGGTCTGCGCAAATATTTACCTGCTTGTGGTTATTATACCTGTTACGAACATAGCTAAGCTTTCGCTCCCCGAAGCACCCTGAATCCCAAACCGTAAACAGTCTCACTTCGCAGACTCCGAACCATATACCTCGCCTGGATTGTCCAAGTGTGAGCGCCGAAACCCTAAACCCCAAATCCTAAATCCTACACCCTAAACCCTAAATCCCAAACCCTAAACCCTAAGCCCGAATGTAAGCTTCAAACAAACGGCCCACGCCGTCAATGCTCCTAAGGTTGGCGGAACTGGAGCATGAGGCGGACAGCTTGCGGAAGGAGCTGGCTGCTGCTGCCGGAGATCCAGTTTGTGTGTGATATAGGGGCCTTAATACGTGCCCAGACGATTTTGGGGGTTCCTTTTTATAATTATAGTATCATGGGCCCCAAATGCCCCAAAGCCCCATTCTGATTATTAAGGCCCCTGCAGTGTGTGTGTGTGTGTGTGTGTGTGTCGAGGTTCGCCTCTGCTGGTAGGGACGAGGTGCTCCTGATGGCTCCAACAATTACACTCAGACCGGGGTGAATGTCATAGCTTTAATACCGCATGTGCAACTTGAAGGTGTCGGCAGGCTTGGTAGATGGCCGAGATAATCTGTCCTTGACATTGTCCGACGAACCCTAATACTCAACAAATGGGTAGTTGTCAAAATTAGGATCCTTGTTTGGGTATATACCCTAAAGAATTTCGTGCGGTATTATGTTAGGGAGCCAAAAAGGGATCATAATTTTGACGACCACCCAAGTAGCCACAACGAAATCTCAGGCGTAAGCACTAGCCGAGGGTTTTGGAGCTGACAGACCGGGGCACTTCAGACGAAAAGGTGCCTTAATGTAAACACCAACTATCAGGAACATTTATCTTTTTTTGCAAGGTATCGTAGAACAAATATGATAGAATGTAGTATACGGTGGTAAAATATGGTACTAAAAGGACTTCGAAAGCGGGAGAATTTCCTCTTGAACTGCTACAATCTGCTTCTCGTCGGGTCAGATACCATATTTTAGCACCTGAGGGGACCCCACAAGCAAGCTGATGCGCGGTAGTTTAGCGGGCGCTAGGGCAACCATCACCGGTATGACATGATACCCAGGCCGACACGCTGAAAACCATGGCGGCAGTGGCCCTAGGTCAACTTTTAGGCTTTAGGATTTAGGGAATTTATAGTTATAGTATGCTGGGCCCCAAAACCCTATTAGGGCTTCTGAAACTCGTGTGCACCTCGAAGCTTATAGGCAGGAAAAGGAGCTTCCTGATAGCTCTTCGAGGTTTTTGTCCGGATGTGGTTCTTCTGTCGCTCCGTTCCGTTCAGGTAGTACTAGCAACGCGGTCACAAGTGTCACTGCAGCTAGCTGCATCGTGTCGCTTATGGCTCCGAACGAAGCTAAAACTCCGAATGTCGCTAGGTTTTGGGAGCATTGCTGGGCTTGCGCTCATCAGTCGAGAAATCTAGAATCTACATAGCTTTCTGCCTGCGTCGTAATTTTTCAGGTTGTGGCATCGTATATTTCCAAGACCTGGATTGACGAATTGACATTACAAAAGTTGTTCGATACAAACGCTTTCTCAGCCCCACCCTTCACTATTCTTGCTTTCGACGTGAACCCTAGAAATGGTTTAGCGCTTATGTTTACGAAGTCCGGCAAAAGGTCGGGGGTTTCTTGAGCTGGGGGTTTAGAGACCCTTGACGGTTGAAGGGCGTTTCTCATGAAATCCTGCACACTGAACTCTTTGCATCAAGAGTGTTACCATCTGCTGGTTGCGGCTGCTGCAGCCTGCTCGATGCTTCGACGTTTGAATTCGGTGGCTCTGCCTGAATCTCTGTTGACTTATCGGAGATAGTGGTCGAAAAAGTTAGCCTTCATATCCCCTCATAGTCATTGTACAGGTATCGCGGTATCGCATAAGATGCCACAAACCGCTTTTAAGATAGTAAGGCCACTGCAGTATTGGCCCTGTTGTGTGGTTCTGGTGATCGCCGGAATCTTCGTGAACAAGAGGCCAGGGCGATTCTTCAGCTTTTTGCTGCAAAGCTATGCACACCCTTTCACGTAATCACGTATAGTTGTCTGACAGGCAAGTGTTTTTACAGCTTACGATGGTGAAAACTATATTTTGCATTTGCAACATAGCAAGAGCCTGAGGCCACCCACAAGATACAGATGGACGGGCTGCAGTCACGGCCTTGCGGCAGCAGAAAGTCTTGGGCGTTTGAGGGAGCCTGAACTAGTGTTCCTCTCCACACCATCTACATCGCGGGGCTTGGGCATCCCTGCTTATGGATACAAAGGCCACTTCGGATTCATTTCACGAATGACTTGTTGGATTTTGGGGTGCTTTTGTGCTGGTGCTGATCTGAGCATTGGGCGGCCGAGCATCTTTCACGAGCTTCGTGCATTGATGCTGCTAGGCTGCTGCTAGGTGTGTCTCGTCCTTGCCCGAACCCAACATTGACTGTGGTGTCGTAAGTATTCGGATGACATTAGAAGCTTGTTCGAATTTTGCATTGCCTGCAATCGCCCTTGGCGTGTTGTTCCACCTGTTCCAGTCCCTATTTTTTCCTCGCTCAAGTAGAGCCGTCAGGTGCTCATTCAAACTTGGAGCCTACACGCCCTTTGGGAACCATGTCCTCGCACAGTTCCGTTTTGCCCGTCAGCCATATTTAGGTGCGACCTGCTCGAGGACAGCTCGAGTCTGCTGCTTGCCAAAGCTTTCTGCCAACACCTAGCACTTCATGGATCGCGTAGCAGCATTGCCTGACCTAGCACGCGAAGAAGACCACATACTACACAGATCCCTTAAGGGAACCTTACTATCACGATCATCATTATTATGATTACTGTTGCTACTATTGTACTATTAGCTCCGCCTTCAGGGTAGGACATGCCGCTCCCCTTCAAGCCAATACTGCAACTCCAAAGTCCTGCACAAGCTTTCTGCAATTGTCTGGTGCTTAGTCGGGGATGGTGGAATGAATATTGGGGACTATTATTGGGGATTCTTATTATATCTATTGGAGATTATTATTATATAGGGACGATTATAGGGATCCATTGCCCCATTCCCTACTAAGAACCAGACAGAAGCTTTCCAGAAAAGCAAGCCTTGAGACCCGCCAAGTAGGGAAGTCAGAGCATGAATCCCGAAAGCCTGCAGGAGTTTTGCCGTTCTTACCATTGACTTCCTTGTCACGAATACTCCTCGCCTCTCAATCGTACAGTCATGAACATGCAGGCCGAGAGCCAGAAACCAGCGATGCCTGCAATAACAGACTACTATAGGGGCTTGAAGAATTCAAATCAAGGTGGAGGACCTTAAGGAATGATATGGCCCCACTGGAGCCTGAGGGCTTTCATCACCACATTTCTTGAGGGAAAGTCCTTCAACCCACGCAGCTTCCAGCACTAGCAACTCTTGTTGTGAGTTTGGATTTGTCACCCTTACGATCATTGTTGTTGTTGTTGTTGTTGTTGTTGTTGTTGTTGCTGTTGCTGTTGCTGTTGCTGTTGCTGTCGCTGTCGCTGTCGCTGTCGCTGCTGTTGTTGTTGTTGTTGTTGCATTCAGTCTTCCTGATCTTGCTGTTGTACACTATCAGCCACTGTAGGCCCATTTCCTTCCTCGTCGCTGCAATTTCTACTTGCAGTAGCCTTTGCCGCTTCGGAATGATCTTGTGCACGGTCTCGTTTCCTTCCGTGGAAACCTGCGAAGCCGGTCGTGTGACCGGCCAGGAGCAAGCTGCGACCTCGGCGAAGGAGCATCCAAGCAAGTAAGGGAAGCTTTAATATAGGAGCCTTAATAATTGAAATAGGGTTTTGGGGTATATTATACTATACTTATAGTAAGCAGCCCCCGTGCAAACATGGGCGTGGCACTCTTCGTGGCTTATAGCATCTGTGGGTCCTTGCTTGTTCAGGACTGGTTTGATTGAAGCACTGTTTCTCGTGGAAACTAAAAAGCGCCACGCTACCGTTCAACCACAAATGCGTGCAGTCATTGTTCACATCTTGCCGGGGACCCAGGGACCAGAGATCTAGGGGCAGTGGCTTTCTTCTTCCTCTTCTGCCGAGCAATTAGTTTCGATGTTATGATGATTTGGGATCTACAGTCACTTGCCCAGCTTTGAACAGAAATGGCGAACGACCGCTACTGTAACTGAATATCCTGTTTTGTGACTTTACTTCCGATGCTTCTGGAGGAAGCTGCTGCGGTGTCGCAGAGGCCAGCCGCAAATCAAGCTGCATGGTGCAGCTATTTCTGCCAAGTTTCAGCATTCCCAGCAGTGACTTCGAATGGCACAACCCCATGCCCCAACCCCTACAGTAACTACCGCGAACCTCGCTTCCCAACCTGAAGCAACAGACCCCACATGTCAAAGAAGTTTCAGCTTCAGTGGAACCATCGTCACACTTTGCACCTTGTACTGTCACCCCGTCGCCGTCGCAGTTTCAATGTTTCGCGGCAACGGCTTAAGGGGCTTGAAACTTAAGACTGCATAAATCGAGGATATGTCCTTAGTAGTGCCCTCTCGGTACCCCGACGCCTTTCAGGAGAAGACTCGACACACTAGCACAAAGCCATCATCACGCCTGCAGCCACCACCTAATCGGAAGGTGATGTCTGAGATTCTATGTATAGCTTTGAAGTTACTCTGACTCAACCCGAGCCCAAAATCCCCAAACATTCTGCTGTCCACAGCTTCAATTGAAGCTGATTGCGTGGGGGTTGCCCTGCTTCCTGTGCTTTTGCAGCTCGGGTTTGGCTTCAACGGTCTGGCATATGCCCGTAGGCTCTTCGGCCGTTGGGACACTCATCATGGCAACCTCGCATCGCAAATCCAGCCAAACCTGGGCGATGCGCCAAACCGTCGCCGGACTATGCTGATGAGCGGTTGACAGGCATCTAGTAGACTCAGTCCATGGCAAGCGAGCATCCCACGCAGCTTTACAGCGCCACCAGCACCGTCAAAGAAGTCGCCAAGCAATGTTGCGTGACACCCACTCCTGAGCTCCATGCAGCCGGGACAGGCCCGTTTCGAAAGGGAGATTCGGCTTTGGGTTCAAGGGTTTTAGGCCTTAGCAAAACGAAAGCTCAGGCGGGTCCCAAGCTTCGGCTTGTTATGGCAGCCTTAACCGCAAGCTTATAGTAGCAGCCCTAATTGTAACCATTGTAGGGACACTCACCATGACTTCTGGGAGCTTCTGTTGCAGTCATTGCGGAGATTTCGACATCAGCCCGCAAATAGGAACAGGGAGGCCGTCGCTGTGGGCGGACCACTATCCTTACAGACAAGAACCGATGAAAACAGCGACCGCAGCGATAGCAGCTGAACCACCACGACCACGACGATGGTGACGATGACGATCTGAGGAATCGCCGCGACTAAGGCGGAGGGATGAGTGCGGCATCATACAGTACCCAAAAGTCTTGAAGCCCCCTTGCAAATGAGTGCTGCAGGTGCCGTGGAGCGATGCTTTGCAGTTTGGCTCCACTGCCAAGACCGCCGCTGTGGCAGCAGTGGTGCCACCACGATCTCTGCCCCGTCCGAGGCCGATGGATGCAGGGATTCGTAGCTTCCTGGTGGTCAAATGGGTCTGGGCCGCTTGTCTCAGGGTTTGACGCTGGTGTGGGGCAGAAGAGGGCAGGGTCTGCCCCCACACAAAGGTGGACAGAGGCATGCTTTGAAGCCATGACCAGGCTAGAGCAGCTTGATGTTTCATCCGCAAGCCCGAAGTTAAAAACGCCGAATTCAGGAGTCTATGGTGTCTGCAATGTAGAAGGCCGCAAAGCCCTAGAAGCCGAATCCATGGCTTGCTTGGATCGCTCGGGTTCTTTCTTGAGAAGAGAGGAAGAGACACGAAGAGAGAGAGGGAGAGAGAGAGAGAGAGAGACAGAGATCATGCTGCAGTGAGTGCCGGCAGCAGGACCACATGGGCGAAGTCGGCGCTGGGGCTAGTTCCCGGGACCGCCTCTGATTCGATTTGATGTGGCCTCTGTGCATTCGGTCTTGCTGAACAGCATGTGCGTACAGCATTTATTTTGCTTCTCCTTGTTGTTTCAGTAGAAGGAGTTCCCGCACGTTGTACCTTGGAATGCGACCGCAAACAGGCACTGACACACACGGTGCTCGCGAGAGAAGTCAGAATTTCCAGAATTGAGCTCATGATCTAGGAGAGTCCTCAGATGCTGCAACGGCCCGTAGTCAAACGCCCCTTGTTTACGATGATAACAAGCAAAGTTTAAGGGTCATTCCTGCATTGAGGGTTCTGGAGTCTCTGCGACTGCCTCACTGCAACAGCTGAGAAGCTTTTCTCCATGGTGCTTAGTAGGGAATGGGGGGAACTTAGCCCTATAGTAGTCCCTATATAATCCCCAATAATAGTCTCCATAACCCATTCCCCCCATTTTATAGTAAAAACCAGACAGTTGTGGACCCAATGCTGGAGTCCATAACAGGAGCTCTGGTGAGGTGCCGGCAGACGCGGGTGCGCAGGCAGGGCACGTTCAAAGATTCAAGCACTTCATGGCACGGTTACGGTGAGTCTAGGTCCTTGTTTCTGTGTTTTTGACCTCTGAACCACTCGTTGTCCGGGGCACAGGGTAACAATCATGTATTGCTGGCCCGTCTGGAAGTCCTTCCTGATACGCTCCTACCAGTACTCAATCGCAGCCCTGGATCCACGTTCACGACAGCTGGAAAGGCACCTGCTGGTGTGGACGCGACACATCTCGCAACCTCGAAGGCAGGCCCATACAAACAGGTTTCGGCTTTGTCAGAAGGCAGCACGCAGCTGTTGCGCAGCTGTCCTTACCGGATCAGGACCTTATCTGGCCTTACTTCTCGTTTCCGAAATGTCAATGGCTTACACATTGCTTGAGACATTGCTGAGCCGCTCGTGCAAGCCATGCCAATCCTTCACCTAGTTCCGTAGCTTCGGCCCGAAAATGATTAGTTCATGCAGGCAGAGACCAACAGCTTGAACAGGTAGATGCTGTGGGACAAGATGATCAAGACTCAGAAGCACCTGCTTGTCGGACCCCGACTCCTCAAACTCAAAGCCACCATCCACCTAAAACTCTCAACATATCCTAAACAAAGCACCTAACAAAGCAAAAAACCTTGCATGCTCGCCATGCATGTCCCAGTTATTAGCTGCTGAAGCCCTAGTCTCCTAATCTTTAAGCCTGTGTCCTCAACCCTAAACCTCAAATATGTGGAGCCTTGCCTGCCTCGCGCGAACGTGAGCGTCGAAACCTGAAATACCCCAAAGCCTAAACGTCCCTTAACTAACCTCCCTTAATGTGGAGCCTGGCCTGCCCTGAGCGTCGCGGCCTCTTTTGTCATCTTTTGTGATGTGGGCACCTGATTAAGAAACCCTGGGCCTATAACCCCAAAATAGTAGGATTCTGTACACATTCATAAGGAACCCTCATAAAGGCCCAAGGTTCCTTAATCAGGTTCCTGCCTTAGTCCTTTGTTTCATTGTGTCTTGGCGACCTGGTACGAGTCGATGAGGCGACCTTGACGGCCTGAGTTTGTGCCTGAAGTCCAGAACTAGGTTTGAGAGGGTTTAGGGTTTGGCTCTGACATCCGACATTCAGGCGGGCACATACAAGTCTGTGCAAAAAAGGGTTTGATGAAAGCGATTTTGGGTGAGAGAAGGTCCTTGCTCTCCATAGTAGCTTCTAGCCGTATGGGCGGTGGTCATCCCATCTTCTCTCCATTCTTCGCACAGTTGTAGTTTCATGCCTCGCCTGGATTGTTGGTGTGTGAGCGCCGAAACCCTGAACCTGAAATGACAGCGGTCGCTCCTCAGGATTTTTCCACAACATCCGACTACGCACCAGTCACCTCGCCTGGCTTGTCCGTGTGCTGAGCGTCGAAGCGTGAAATCCCTTAAACTCTAAATCATCCTAAATCTGAAATCCCCGAAACCGTAAACCCCGAAACCCTGAACCCCGAAACCCTAAACCCCTAAACTCTAAACCCCTAAACCCCCGAACCCTAAACCCTAAACCCTGGCTAATGTCCCCTCATCCAAGCTGGAAGTCTTGCGGACACCAACAGACACGAGGGTTAAAAAAACCGTAAAACCCTCAATCTCTAAACCCTAAACCCCTTTCAGGCATCGTTGTCCAGCAGCCCGGTTACAGCAAGAGCCCCCCCTTTCCAACCTGAAACCCCTAAACCCTAAACCGGCAGGTGGCTCCTTCCAAGCCTCCGGATCTCCGTCGTCCCGCCGAGCCGGCCCACCCCCCGCGGCGCAGAGCCAAGCGGCCCGGCAGCTGCGGAGTCTTCTTCTGGTGTGTTTTGGGATGTTAAGAGGTTTTAGGGTTTAGGTCAAGGGTTTCGGGGTTTTGGACTTTGTTGCTTTCTTTTGCAGGGGCTCGTGGGATGAATTGTAGAGGGGAATTTTGAGGAGGTGGGTTTGGGTTTGGTTTCTGTAGTATTCCCTAATGTACTCTACTTCTTCTAAATATTGAGACCTCAACTATCCATACAAGACAGAGTCCAGTCAACCCAAGACGCAAAACCCAAAACCCAAAGCCCTAAACTCAAGAACACACGACCTGAACTGCCAAGGGTCCCCCCCACTACTGCCGCGCCATCCTCGGATGTTTCTGGTCAGCCTGAGCCTGTTTAAGGTTTATGGTTCAGGGTTTGGGGTAGCCGTGTGGCACGAGCCCACAGCACAGTCGGCCCCTTAGTTCCTGGCATATGCGTAGTCCAGGTGTAAAAAAAGGGTTTGGGTGCTTGATGTACGGCAGATTGGGAAATCTTAGGACGAATCATACGTTTGCATACCCTTGTTCACATCTTGCCTACTTTGCACTTCTTTGGAAGGATTGGACAAGATGGTCTCGTTGTCGAAGCATGAACATGCTTCTCCGATCCAGACTATAGTTTCGCCTTTACTTCTTTACCTGTCATCGCCAGCTGACCGGGTTGTCATCAGCGGGGTCCTCATCGGCTGTGTAAGGTCGGCTCAAAGGGGGTGCCTAGGCCTCAGGTGCCTGCGTGGGGTCGCCTAAGCATGAGACCCAAGGGAGCCCCGGCCATGGAAAAGCTGAGAGCATCTAGAAGATGGTTGACGCAGACATGCAGGGGCTTGTCTACGACGCAGTCCGGGCCTAAATTGTGACATCCAGCGCTGCAGGGTTAGCTTTGTGCGTGTGTATGCATGTTTTTTATGACTTTTTAAGCTTGCATGGCTGGGGGGCTTGGATGTATGCATGTGCATGATGTTTGTCCGTCTGTCTGTATGTATGTATGTATGCATGTGGAAATATATATATATATATATATATATATATATATATATATATGTATGTATATGTATATATAATACATGCATTTATGTATGTAAGTATGTATGTATGTACATGTATATATGTGTGTAAGTCTACCTGCGTATGTACGCATGCAATCATGCATGTAGGTATGGCTGTTGTTCGCGAGTGACCTAGTCATGCGCACATGCTCGCATCTGCAAAGATGTACTAATGCAGGAAACAGGAGCGAATGAACAAGACGCACAAGCAAAGCGAAATATCACCGGTGGACACATGCACCTACTGTGTACACATGCACCCGCGCAGGTGTTGTTTGTTTTCTTTGTTTTCTATCTCTACATGTATGAGTATATATCGACAGATAAACGGTAGACATGCAGATAGATAGATGGATAGGTTTATGTCTGTATCTACAAATACGCACACACACACACACACGCACAGTGTATATATATATATATATATATATACATATATTTATTTATTTATTTATTTATTTATTCCCCACCCTCGGTGTGGGGTTGTTAGATTTTAAAGTCAGCTATTGCTCCTTGCCCGCTGAGATAACCTCCTGGAGCACCCAGCCCCACAGACTACCGTGAGAATACCGTGAGAATCCCTGGAGTGCCCAACCCCACAGGCTACCGTGAGAATCCCTGGAGTGCTCGGGAACACCAGGGATTAAGGTTTAGGCTCGCGTTCTTTAGGACTTTAGGTCTTAGGATTTGCGTGTAGGAAGGACAAGGCGCTAGGGTGGGGATGTTCGAAGTAAAATAATTTATTTATACATTCATTAGACGGCCGCGTTCCAGTTCTGAATGCCGGCCCTGGCCTGGTAGTTCCAAATCCATTCCAATCGTATTATGGCCATCCTACCTGTACCCTAATTCAACATATCTAAATCTTGTTCATTTTCGATTTTTGTGCTGCAAACTGCATTTTTTGCGGCCGGCAATTCTTTATATAAGGGGTTATTAAACGCGAGAATATGTTTGCATTTTATGTGTATGTATTTATGTACGTATGTATGTATGTATGTATGTGTGTGGGTATGTATGTGTGTTATGTATGTATGTATGTATGTATGTATGTATGTATGTACGTGTGTAGGTAGGTATGTAAATATTTATGCATGGGTGGGTGTATGCATATACACACTGTTTTCGGTGGTTGTTTGTGCATGTACTTGCGCAAAGTGGTTTGGTGGTTCAGTTTGAGGTTGTCCCTGACGATAAAACTAGGAGGGCCCAAACGGTGTTGCAGGCCTAAACTCTGAGTCATGCTGCGCTCTCTAGCTCTCTCTTTTCGGGTTCCCTTCTTTCAGCTTTATTCAGCCTCCAGCCTCAGTACGATGCTTATCCAGAAGTGTTGGCTCCAGCCCGTGATTCAACAAAAAGAAGTCGGACTAGCAGCAGTAGTAGTAGTAGTAGTAGCAGCAGTAGTCGTCGTCGTAGTCGGAGTCGCAGTCGCACTCGCAGTCGCAGTAGGAGTGGTAGTAGGAGTAGAAGTAGTAGTAGCAGTAGTAGTAGTAGTAGTAGAAGAAGTAGTGGTCGTCGTAGTAGTAGTAATAGTAGTAGTAGTAGTAGTAGTAGTAGTAGTAGGAGTAGCAGTAGCAGTAGCAGTAGCAGTAGCAGTAGCAGTAGCAGTAGCAGTAGCAGTAGCAGTAGCAGTAGCAGTAGTAGTAGTAGTAGTAGTAGGAGTAGGAGTAGGAGTAGGAGTAGGAGTAGGAGTAGGAGTAGGAGTAGGAGTAGGAGCAGGAGCAGGAGTAGGAGTAGGAGTAGGAGTAGGGGTAGGGGTAGGAGTAGGAGTAGTAGCTGTTGTCGTAGTAGTAGGAGTAGTGGTAGGAGCAATAGGAGGAGCAGGAGTCGGGTAGGAGTAGGAGTACGGGAAAAAAGTAGTAGTAGTAGTAGTAGTAGTAGTAGTAGTAGTAGTAGTAGTAGTAGTAGTAGTAGTAGTAGTAGTAGTAGTAGTAGTAGTAGTAGTAGTAGTAGTCGTGGTGGCGGTGGTGGTGGTGGTGGTGGTAGTAGTAGTAGTAGTAGTACAGAAGGGTCGATCCTGGGGCCTGCTTTTGTGTATAAGGAGTTTTTGAAGTTACGTAGGCCTTTGGATCGGGCTCGTGATGCTTACTTGCTGCTCGCAACCTTCTGTTCACGCATATTTTGTTGAATTGATTGATGTCTGTATCCCCTTGTCAAGGATTCTTGTCATGGATTCTTGTCGTGGTGTGTTGGTTTGTTGGTTTGTTAAATTTGTTTTAGTTTTCCTTTACTGTGTTTATAAACACGACGGCTGTTTATAAACACAGGCGCTGCTTATAAACAAACGCTTCGCTCGAGGTAGGGTGGGGGGCGGGGGCGCCAGAGGTCTTGGTATGGTGCGGGCAACATCCAACACCTGCCACCCCCCCCCCTCCCCCCCCCTCACCACCAGCACGTTCACCACAAGGTACAACCGCCGACCAATCCACCATCCGCCCGAGACGCGCGCAGCCATTCCCAATTGACGCCAACCCTCAAGTCTTAAGTGCTGGTCACAAAACTAAACTGTTTCTTAATGGAGGAAAGTGTGGAGTTAATGTGAGATACCCCAAGACCTGGTTGGATAAATTGAACTCAATAAACACTGGTATTTGCGGTGATTTCTGCTTGTCCTTCTATGAACACTTTCACGGGTTGTTTATAAATACCGGGCCTTGCTTATAAACTTGCGGGTTGTTTGTAAACATGTGGGTCGTTTAAGCGCAACAGAAATCGGGCCCGTGTGTTTCTCTTTTGTGTATACAGAGATAAACGCACTGCAGCAGCGTGCGGTCCAGGCTCATCGAGTGAAACCACAAGATGTTTGTGTTTAGTATTTCAACTATACAAAATCTCTTGTAAGGCTATGTGTAGGGATGGAGAGCGTGCTACGGCCTGGACCAAACCGGTTCGAGGAACTATAGGAGGACGATCCGTTATGGCTTGGAACCGACCCGGTATCCAGTGCAGCATTTTTCACTGATCCAAATGATTTTGATCCAAATACTGGCTATTTCGAAGGGTACGGGGTACCTTATGAACAAGGGTATCGGAAGAAGCCAGAATCGGATAAGCATCAACACAAGTAGGATTCCAGTCTAGGACAGCAGCCAGATCTTCATCGATTACAGTTTGTCTTTGATAGTCTTTTATACAGGTACATAGGCTGAACCCGCTCACATCTTTACTTTGCTTCACCGTGCAAAAACAAGGGCCCTTATGTGCATCCACATTTCGTTAACCCTATGCCAATGCAATTCGAGAGCTAATTAGGCTGAATCTCTACATTGGTGTTTCAAACACTGTTACCAACAGCGGTGTTGGCTAAGCTTGCTTTGGGTAGACAGTCCAGAGTCTTAGAGGCCCGATTATCAGAGCTGCATAGAGAAACTGTCGAGCTTATGTAGCCTACCTTAAGACGTTCTTTAGGGAGTCTTGAGCTCATCGATATTTACAGCATTTTCTGCTTGTAAGATCTGCTACACAAGAACCCAGATTAAGAGGCTCGACCTACACACTGGTGTGGAGCCTGTTGGAGAGCGATTTTGCACAGCTCGAATAAGCTGTTCCGAAAAACACTCGTGATGCTTGCTTTGTGGTACGTGCTTTTCGCGACACAAAACACAAGCTCCTGCTTTGGAGCCATTAACGTTGAAACCCGATAAAAGCACTGAAACTAAACCCACAGTCGACCGCTCTCTAGTAGTAGTAGTAGTAGTAGTAGTAGTAGTAGTAGTAGTAGTAGTAGTCGTAGTGGTAGTGGTAGTGGTAGTGGTAGTGGTTGTGGTTGTGGTTGTGGTTGTGGTTGTGTTGGTTGTTGTTGTTAACAGTAGTAACAGTAGTAGCAGTAGTAGCAGTAGTAGCAGTAGTAGCAGCAGTAGTAGCAGTAGTAGCAGTAGTAGTAGCAGTAGTAGTAGTAGTAGTGGTGGTGGTAGTGGTAGTGGTAGTGGTAGTGGTAGTGGTAGTGGTAGTGGTATGGTAGTGGTAGTGGTAGTGGTAGTGGTAGTAGTAGTAGTAGTAGTAGCAGCAAGTCGTCGCCGTTGTGGTGATGGTGGTGGTAGTAGACGAATATACAAAAGTTGTAGTAGCACAGCAACGACCAGTACAGTACGGTAATTGCCGAGGATCCTTGCGATGCTGCTTCTCGTTTGGGCAGCGATTCGCGCCCGAAGTGAGCTGATGCGAGACCTGTCCCTAGTGTCGCGGCGTTTTCTAGGTTACGTGGACTTTGCTTCAATCTGGCGGAAGGCATTCCAGAAGGATTCAGTGCGGAACTTGAGATCAGTCTCTACCTCCGGATCGCAGGGTGAAGGG